CACCACCACTGCTATCACGCTCGATATGTCGAGGGTAAACAGGGGAAAACGGGGCACATAGACGGTGTCGCTCTGCCGCCGACTACGTACATGCTCGTCCTCCGGGCGTAGCTCCGCAGACCGCCGGAGCTATCCCAAGGACCACGGGACTCTCGAACAAGGACAGCACCATACTATAACACGCGCGCGCGCGCACGCGACATACGCATTTCCCGATTTCCGGTGCTAAATCTTGATTTCAAACGGGTCGGTGTTGTTGTCGGATCGAGCGGCTCCGCGGGGACATTTTCCATGGACTAGCTCCCCGCATATCTGTATCCACGCGACCTAGTATACGCGCGCAGTATAACTTCTTGCGCGGACTGTATCGCAACCATATAGGCATACCCGCGCTTTCTCACCGGTGTCGTCCTCGGCGGACCACACTCGAACCGGCCTCGGCATTCTTGGGATCAGCCCGCAAGCCCTCCTCTTCGCGCGGCTCAGCACGACGCGGCGCGGCATGGTGCGGCATGGTGCGGCACGGCACGGCGCGGCGCGGCGCGGCGCGGCATCTCGCGCTCGGCGGAGACCGTCGTCAGGAACGCCGCAGTGACAGCGCGACATCTCACCAAATGTGATCATCGCTCTCGAAGATGTGTTTACTCCTCCGATGTGATATTTGGCGCATGTCGATCGGTGGTCGGTCCATAACCGGAAGTGAAAGTCGCCGATTTCGCGACACCCTATATACACACCCTATATACATGAATGAGCACAGGACACTCACCCGAGACTTTTTTTGATTATTTTTATATCGTCCATGTTGCCTGGTAGCGCGAGGGGATTCGCGACGCGGATTCGGACGGAATTGCATTCGGCGATGAACGATGTGCAAAGTCGAGCGGATCGATAGATAGAGATTTCGCGTAAATTGCGAGTTTATCGCGAAACGAAATCAAATCGTCGATCTCGTGAATCTCTCGATTTCAGGATTTATTTCTAGTTAATTAGCATGTAAACTCTGTGATTAGAGTAAATCAATGTTTTCCCTGACACACATATGATGCGGTAGCTGTACTTTTATAAATCTTTTGTTTTTTAGTTTATTTTGAAATAAAAAAAAAACACTTTCATTATTGAATACAACTGACAAACATTCCACAGTCTATAATAATAAAATTGTGATTCATCAAATGCGTAAAATTTAGCAATAATTTGTACAAGATAAATCTTTGTATATTAGTATTGTACAAAAAAAATAGAAACTAAAGGAAAGT